CATATTACACCACATTTTCAAAATAGCCGGTCCCTAGCAGCCAGGGTGGGCCTGGGGGCTGCTACGGGCCCTCCAGCGGGGGCTGTGGGATAGCGTGCTGTGCATAGGTACATAGTTTGCACCTATTTCTACATGTGTACATAGTTTACATAGTGGGCACACATTTGTACACGTGTACATACGGTGTTATCACAATAAATATATATGTACATAATAGGTGCACTATACATATGTACCTAATGTGTACAACATGTACTTTTTTGATATTACATGTTATATACATATTATTGTGATTATATGTTATTGTGATTATATATACATCACTGATATTTCAAGAAATGTGCATAGTGTACACATTATGTACCTATGCATTGTGTACACATAAATATAAAGGTACATATTTTACAGATTATGTATATTTTTTCTACATTTGTATTGTGTACACATATGTACATTAGAGTAAATGTACAGATTGTACCTATTATATACTTTTATTGCAATCTGCCAATAAATGTACATATTATGAGTACATTCTGGGATTTTTTTTTGGTATATTAGATAGAAATTACTCCTGTTATTAGAGTGTGTATGCACCCCTGTGTGCACATATTTTACACGTGTACATATTATGCATATTATGTACTCGTGTACAGATGGAACATATCTACGTATTATGTACATGTCTTTACACGTGTACATAGTGTACATATCTACGTACCGTGTACACTTATGTACACGTGTACATATTGTACATTTGTACATAAATTGTACATGATGTACATGTGTGCAAACTGTAATATCACAAAAAATGTATATGTACATAATGTGTACAATATGTACATTTATTTTGATATGTATTATATATGTTTTGTGATTATATATGCTGTTGTGATTATATATATATCGTTGTGATATTACAATAAATGTACATATTGTACACATTATGTACATATAAATGTACATATTGTACACATTATGTACATATAAATGTACATATTGTACACATTATGTACATTTATTGTACATCTGTATTGTGTACACTTATGTACATCACAGTCAATGTACATACAGTACATATTATATACATTTATTGTAATATCCCAGTAAGTATATCCATTATGAGTGTATTCTGGGTTATGATTTTTAGTATATTAGATAAAAATTTTTTCCAATATTAAAGTGGGTTTACACTCATGTGTGTTCATTTTGTGATATTATTGATCATATAATAAGTATATGATGTGAAAGAAAGTGTACACTCTGATTGTTCCAATATCACAGGCAATGTACATTGCTTCTGTGATATAGTTTCTAATATCCTGGGGACAGAGGATGATCCTACCCTGAATATTGGAGGAAGTGTACACCACCAATGTAGTGTTTCTAATACCCAAAAACAGAGAGGATATTTCTCCAAATATGTCAGGAAGCACACAAGCCTCCAGTAATATTGTTCCTAATAACTAGGGGATTACAGATGATATTACTCACAATGTGACTCGGGCTGTACAGCGGTCCTTTGATATTGTTCCTAATATCTAGGGAAGGAGAGGATAATATTACTGCCCTCGTGGAAATACTCTGAATATGGCAAGAGGTGTACACCATGCTCTAATATGGTCTCTAATGTCCACAAAAAAACAATTTTATTGAATTAAACACTGCAAGGGGTGAAACCCTTCTGTGCTTTCAATTCTAATGTCAAGGTTGGTGAGGATGACATTTTTGTCACTATCGCCGAGGTGTAACTAGAACTAGTGTTATTGTGCCTAATATAAATAAAAACCAGAATAAGATTAACATCTTCCTATCATATGGTTCCCAGTATCATATTACACTACATTTTCAAAATAGCTGTTCCCCAGCAGCCAGGGTGGGCCGGGGACCTCTGTCGGGGACTGTGGTTATTGCTTCTTAGCCAGGAATTTCTAGCAGACAGTGTGGGCCGGGGGGCTGCTACATGCACTGCATATGTACATGGTTTTCACCTATTTCTACATGTGTACATAATTTACATAATGTGCACCTATATATACTCGTGTACATATAGTATGTATGCACATAGTTTGTACATTGTGTACACGTGGACATATGGTGTTATCACAATAACTGTATATGTACATAATATGTACACATACATATGTACATAATGTGTACATATGTACATTTCTTCTGATATTATGTATTAGGCATATATTTTTGTGGTTATATGTTATTGTGATTATATATATGATATCCCTGATATTTCAATAAATGGACATATTGTACGTGTTATGTACCTATGTATTGTGTACACATTATATAAATATAAATTTACATATTTTACAGATTATCTACATTTCATCTACATATGCATTATGTGCACATATGTACATCATAGTAAATGTACATATTGTAGATATTATGTACATTTATTGCAATATACCAGTAAATGTACACATTTTGAGTACATTCTGGGATATTATTTTTAGTATATTAGATAAAAATTACTCCTATTATCAAAATGTTTATACACCCATGTGTGTACATATTGTACCCGTGTACATATTATGCATATGATGTACTTGTTTACAGATGGCACATATCTACATAATGTGTACATATAGGTACACGTGTACTTGATGTACATATCTACATACTGTGCACCACGTGTACGTAATGTACACACTGTGCACACATATTTACACGTGTACATATAGTACATGTATATATGATGTGTGCACATTATGTACACTTTGTCATATTGTAACATCGCAATAAATGTATATGTACATAATGTGTACAATATGTACATTTAACATGATATGTATTATATATACTGTGATTATGTTATTTTTATCATATATGATATTGTGATATTACAACAAATGTACATATTGTACACATGTACATGTGTATATGTATACATTATTGACATTTTATGTCCATATTGCATACATTATTAACATTTATTGTACATATGTATTTTGTACACATAAGTACATCATAGTAAATGTACATATGGTAGATGTTATATACATTTTTTGTATCCCAATAAATTTACATTTCACGGCTATATTCTGGAATATTATTTTTAGTATATTACATGAAAATTACTCCTAATAGCAAAGTGGGTATACACCCATGTCTGTACATTTTGTTATATTATTTATCATGTCCTAAGTAGATATTACTCTCATTGTGAAGGCAAGTGTACACTCTGTCATTGTTCCAATATCACAGGCGGTGATATTGAAACGCTTCTGTAATATAGTTTCTCATATCCTGGGGAGAGGAGATGATTATACATTGAATATTGCAGAAGTGTACACCACCACTGTAATATCATTTCTAATATCCAAAAACAAAGATGATATTACTCCAAATATCTCAGAAAGTGCACAAACCCCCAGTGATATTGTTTCTTATATCTAGGGAATGAGAGATATTACTTACAATGTGGCTGAGGCATGTACACCTGTACTGTGATATTGTTCTTAATATCCAGGGAAGGAGAGGATGATGTTACTGCCATATGGTAATACTCTCAATATGGCAAGAGGTATACACCACTCTCTTATATGCTAACTAATGTCCACAGAAAAAATAATTATATCGAATTAAATATTGCAAGGAGTGAAACCCCCCTGTGATTTCAAGTCTAATGTGTTTAGGGGAGAGGATTATATTTTTGTCAATATTGCAGAGGTGTAACTAGAACTAGTGTTATTGTGCCCAATATAAAAGAAAACCAAATTAACATTATCTTCTCCCTACGATATGGTTCCCAGTATCATATTACTTCAATTTTTCTAAATAGCTGCTTTGTAGCAGCCAAGGGAGGGGCCCGGGTGCTGCTACTCGCCCTGTGGTGGGGGCTGTGGACACAGTTCCCTAGCCAGAGGGTTTGTAGTATACAATGGGGGCTGCGGTGATATTACTCGCCCTCTGGCGGGGGCTGTGTGGACAGCCCCCTAGCCAGCGGGTTTATAATACCCAGGGGGGCTGGAAGAATATTTCTCTCCCTCTGACGGGGTTGTGGGCACGGCCCCTTAGCCAGAGGGTTCATAATATCCACGGGAGGCTGGAGGGATATAACTCACCCTCTGGTGGCGGTTTGCTCTGGGTGTATACTTTAAATAGATAAGTCGCCTAATATCGACGTTGCGTGGGTGGGGTTGTATGTTTTAAAGAGATATTACTCCTAATATCTTAGTTGTTGTAGAGTATGTTTCAACACGTTTTTATCTTGTTTGTGATATTCAGCATGTCATTACTCGTAATATCAAAGTGTGTGTAAAGTATTTGTGTACACCCTGTGATATTATTCATATTAGGGAGAGATACTACGAGTCACAGGTATGGCCGCTCCTCTGTGATATGGTTCGTAATATTCAGGGGGAACCCGGGTGATATTACTCGCCCTATGGCGGGTGGTTAATGTGGGTGTACATTTTAAAGAGATACTACTCCGAATATCACTGTCGGGTTGATATGGGTGTATATTTTAAAGAGATATTACTCCTAATGTCGTAGCCAATGTAGAGTATGTTTGAACACTTTGTGATATTATTTGTAATATCTTAGGGAGAAAAATTACTTGTAATATCAAAGAGAAAGAAATAAGGTTAGTCCTGAGACCCCTTCACCTGTGTACTCACTTCACTTTCCCACCTCGAATCTTTAGGGTGCACCCAGGCTCTTCAGGGAACTTCAGGTTAGTAGAGAGGCCGGGCCCGAGAATTTCTCAGTCAAGCAAGCAGGTGAGTACATGAATCATTGTAATTTTGTATTGAAAGTCTATAATAGGTACACACAGTGTGTCCATGAAGTGCCAGAGAGGAAAAGACAAACCCTGCCTGGGGAGAAGTGGGGGATGCTGAGCAGGGAGTTGACATTTAAATAAGTTTTGATGAATGCTCAGGGTAGAAAAGAAAACAAGAATTCTAGGGTAAAGAAATCACATTAAACACACAAGGACACATGGGAGAACATGATTTTTGAGAAATCTGAGTGGGTGGGTATGACTAAAAGCTAAAGGGTTCCTGAATGCAGGTTAGGAGGAAACAGAAGACAAAGAGCGAAAATGAATTCTGAGGGCAAATGTCTCTGTAGGGAAAGTCTATGGGGTTAGGTCTTCTCTTGCAGACAATGTGGAGACCTTGGACATTTTTCATAATCAGAGCTGTTTTGGAAAGACCTTTTTTAGAATACTCTGACAAGCATTGTCTGTATCAAGGCCTTCTGTTCACATGTATTTCTTCCTAATTTGTAAACTCTTTCAAGTCAAGGCTGCACCTGTCTTAGTTTTCCTTTCCTGTAACTTTTCAATATCCTTTTTATAGTTACATTAGGTTGGACTGAATTGAAACCACAAAATACTACAAAATGATGGAACATAATAGGTATATTTATATTAAAGACATATTTAAGACAAATAAATATTACTTTACATATTCTATTATGGTAATTAAACAAGGATGTATTCATTCTAATACCTCATAGGTACATGCTTTTTAGAACTTCATACTTAGGCATTGAAAAACAACCTGAATTTGAAGGTGTGTTCTTATGTGATAATTTTATGTGTCGACTTCACTGGGCCATGAGAGGCTCAGATGGCTGTTAAAGCATGATTTCTGGGTGTGTCTATGAGGATGTTTCTGGAGAAGATGAACGTTTGAATCAGTGGACTGAGTGAGGATCATGGGCTGGCCTCATCCAATCTTCTGCAGGCCAGAAGAGAGCAACACGTGGAGGAAGATTGAATTCCCTCTCTGCCAAAAATGGGGCTGGAACACCAGTTTTCTCTTGCCCTTGACTTCTGACTCTCAGGCCTTTGAACGAAGCCATGGGCTTTCCTGGATCTTCACCTTGTAGATGCAAGGCTGTGGAGCTTTACAGTTTTCACAGTTACTTGAGCCAGTACCTCACAGTAAATCTCACTGGAGCTCTTTCTCCAGTCTTCAGACAGAAGGCTGTCTGTTAGGCACAAGAGCAAGCTGTCTGAGCCTTGCTCTTTGAGCTGAAAAAAGCCTTATGAGAGACAGTCTATGTTACAGAGTTCACATCCCATGTTCAAGAACAGGCCATGTGTCTTCTTCCCTGTTACATTAACTCTCAATTTCAGGAATCTGTACATTACTCTCAGGGCTTCATGGTCTTTCAGGGGACTGCAAAGCTGTAAAATAAGCACAGAATTACTTTAGCATATTATAGAAAAAATACAGAGGAAGATGCTTTATAAGAGCAGAGTATAAGACTCATACAGTTTGGCGAATTTTCAAAGAAACCTGCAGAATTAAACTTGTAGTGTAATCCTCCAAAAGGGGCTCCACAAAACCTTGGAAACATAAATGAAGTGGAATTGCACATGTGACATTTTTAGTAAATTAAAAAAAAATAAAGAAAGAAAAAGGGTAAAAAGGTCCATGAAATAAAATACCTTAAAAAGCCAAGAAACTAACTGCAAGTCCCACAAAGACATTGGGCAATGATTCTGTATGATTTCAGGAACGCTGATAAATAATGTCTTAATGTACTGAAATATCATAAGAAGTACATGTAATCTCTTACCTTTAGTGTTTATTTTACTAGACATTCCAGGAGGACAGTAGCAACTAGTTGAGGTCTAGAAAGAAAACCAAGAAATGTTACAGTAACCAGTACAATGGCGGTCTCACAGCTAGTAAAATGGTCAAGATATGACTAGGGATTTTTCCTAAAGGCAGTCACAGAGTCATCCTGTAATGTAACAATAATTCCTATCATTGTGGACAAAAACTCAGACTTTTCCTTCCCATGACTGACAAGTAATTATATAAAAAGTAAATTAATTTTTTCATAAAGAAAAACAAAGTTAACACTAGTGTGCTTTCTTCAGTCACTAAAATTCTGCAGAAACCCAGATATAATAAGAAACTCAATTATCCGACCAGGTGTGGTGGCTCACACTTATAATCCCAGCACTTTGGGAGCCAAGGTGGGTGCATCACATGATGTCAGGAGTTTGAGACCAGCCTGACCAACTTGATGAAACCAGGTCTCTACTAAAAATACATAAATTAGCTGGATATGATGGTGCATGCCTGTGATCCCAGCTACTTGGGAGGTGAGGCAGGAGAATCACTTGAACCTGAAAAACCAAGGTTGCAGTGAGCTGAGATTGCACCACTACACTTCAGACTGGGAAATAGAGCAAAACTTCATCTCTCTCTTTCTTTCTCTCTCTCTCTGTCTCTCTCTGTCTCTCTCTCTCTCTCTCTCTCTCTCTCTATCTATATATATATATATATATATATATATATATATATATCACACACACACACACACACACATCTCACCTCTTGACCTATGATCAAAGTTACTTCTAAACTCAATTGAAGGGACTATATATCACAAGCCAGATGGCAAGAAATTAAATAAATTTCAGTCTTTTTATGCTATTCCAATTACATCTTGGTCAGGTTACAAACATGTTTCAGAAAATATTGGAGGAGTTTTTCTTCCTCTTTAGGAGTCCTCTCTCGCTTTATGCTGCCTAACAAAAGACCTCACACCTTTAGAAAGAAGATAGAGATAGGCCAGGTCAGGACATGCTGCACAAGTAGAACCACTGTCCCAAAAAGAGAGGGTTCTACACCACTCTGAGAACTTCACAATTGACCAGCTACACACAAATGCCTGACGTATGGAAGTCCATCTAGAAAATGAACAATTAGTGATATCAAAACTTCTACCCAAAGGGCCTGCAGCTGGTATGACCATTCATCAAAAAATCTGACTTTAAATGGAGACACATTGGACTTTGACATGCAATAAAAGAACTGAAGCAGCAAAGTGTCTTGATTTGGGTTTTCTTTCCATCTTACCCAGCTCCAGGCAGTGAAGAAGTGAGCATGCCGGTTGTGCTCCTGACACATCTGGGGTAGTTCCCATTGACAGTGGTCAACCTTTGGGATTTTCCCACACATTTTAGGGTCATGATTCCTCTATGCTAACCTATAATGTGCAGATAAAAGCTCCTGTTTAGAGACTGGTGGAGAAATGTCAAATCTGAAAGCCCACGAACTGTCTCAGCCGGGGGGAACACATGTAGGAAAGACTATAGAATCTGATGTCAGAAGCCTAATTTCAGGTAGACCTCTACAGCTTTACAATTGTGAGTAATTAACTTACTTCTCTAGGCTCTGTTATTCTCATACAAATCACGAGAAAGGTAGACCGAATAGTCTCCCAGATCAATTCCAATCTTAACATCCTCTGGCTTTATGATTAAAGAATGACACTAATATGACTGAAATTGTGGCTTAGCCTCAATAGGAGCCTGCTGGGATTATGCTAAGCAAAACTAGTCCACACAGACAGAGCCATTCTGACCACATCCCTCCCTACGCCAGCTATTATACAGATACGCACCACTGGTAGGAGAAGTCCCTTCTACAGAAGACATTGACTGATTCAATAATAGGCTGATTTATTGATTCAACCAACAAGTATTTACTAAGCACCTTCTAGGTATTTAGGGATACAACAAAACAAAACAGACAAAATCCCTTCCCTTATGGAGTTTACATTTTAGTGAAGGACAAGGGGGGGTCAGACATCAAATAGAAAATATAAATTAAGAATATATTTTATGCAGAGCAGTGTTGGGATTCACTCATGGTGGCTGTCAAAATATTAAGGGAAAATATTAGGGAAGTTATAGATTATAGTATCAAACCTTTTTGGAAAGCCAAATGTTTAATGAGCCGGGTTGAAGACAGCCAGTTCTTACCTTAGAGCTTTAAGTCACAAGGTGGAAATTAAGATAATAAAAGCTTCCCAGTTAAATCTGTTTACCCCACATTCCTTTGTCTCTACTCTGTTTACTCATATAAACTTTGTGCTAGATGACCCTCCCGGGGGAGGTTGAAAAAGAATTACTAGTTAATGGTGTTATTCTGGGCCTCAGAACCAAAGGTTTTTATGACTAGTAAATCCACTCTATTAACATGTTAATTATTCACAACCGTGTTGACTTAAAACCTGTTATTAAATTTATACTGAATAATGCAAGAAGAAACAAGGAGTTGTAGTCAATTAGCTTCAATCACCCTTTAAAAGCAGCTGAGGGCCCCTTAACCCAACTCTTGCACTGTATTCCGTAAGTAAGAGAGTATTTCATTCATCCGTTGCTCAGACAAGGTCTGCAGGACAGAGCTCCACAGGTAGTGAGCAAGTCTCAGTGAAGCCTGGAAGCCCTGATAAAGTGACTTTTGAACTGTAATCCAAAGCAGTGAGAGAGTGAGCCATGCAGAGAGTAGGGGAAGAATGTTCAAGGCAGAGGAACAGCAAGGCCCAGAGACAGGACAGGATCAAGCCTGTCTAGCATGCTAAAGGAAACAACATGAGCTCAGTGTTTATAAAGAGGAGTAAGAGCAGGAGAGTAGCAGGGAAGAACAGTGAGACAGGTAGCAGGGGCCAGGTCATGTACAAAACAAAGCCACGCGAGAGTCTGAACAGAGACATAATTATGATCTTGATTCCACTGTGAAAGGATTGTACTAGCTGTTGTATTGAGGGTAGAGTGGCCAGGCACGGTGGCTCACTCCTGTTAATCCCAAACACTTGGGAGGCCAAGGCAGGTGGATCACTTGAGAACAAGAATTCAAGACCAGCCTGGCCAACATGATGAAACCCTGTCTCTACTAAAATACAAAAATTAGCCAGGCATGGTGGCTCATGCCTGTAATCCCAGCTACTAGGAAGGTTGAGGCAGGAGAGTTGCTGGAACTCAGGCGGCAGAAGTTACAGTGAGCCTGGATCTAGCATTGCACTCCAGACTTGGTGACAAAGCAAGACTCCATCTGAAAAAAAAAGAAGAGAAAGAGAGTAGACTGAAGGAGGCAAACATGGAAACAAAAAAGCCAGTTAGAAGACTACTGAGATAATCCAGGTAAGAGATAATGGCAGAGTGGCAGCAGGTAAGGTGTGAAGAGAGACCACTTCTGAAGTTGAATCAACAGGACATTGAAGACAGGATCATCTTGGAAAATCTTGGAACTACTGCAGAATCAAATGAAGCTGAATGGCACTAATTCTAACATCTACTGTGAAATCCCGGGAAGAGGGCTTGTTCCTCTCTTACCTAGTGTCCCACCCAGTGCTTGGCACATAATGGGGATATAAAAAGTCTTCAATTATTAAATGAATAAATGTGGAACTGAATATATGACAAGCCAAAAGACTGCAGTTTGATAGGTCATTAGGAGATCAAAAGCATCTGGTACTAGACATATTTTACTAACAGTGGGTTCACCTTCTCTGAGTGAATCACCTTCTAAGCAGTAAGCTGGATCATGCTAGTGCATGGGCAACAAGAGAGAAATTCCAGTTCAAAAGGGAGAAAGAAAGAAAAGAAGAAAGAAATAGAAGGAAGAACAAAAGAAAGAAAGAAAGAAGGAAGGAAGGAAGGAAGGAAGGAAGAAGGGAAGAAAGGAAGAAAGGAAAGAAGGAAGGAAGGAAGGAAGGAGGAAAGAAGGAAGGAAGGAAGGAAGGAAGGAAGGAGGGAGGAAGGGAGGGAGGGAGGGAGGGAGGAAGGAAAGAAGGAAGGAAGGAAGGAAGGAATAGGAAAAAAGGAGGGAAGGAAGAAAAAAAATAGAAATGTTTCATGACTTTAAGGCAATATAGAAACAGCTAAACTTTTTATCGAAATCTGAACCACATTATAAAGCCAAAAACACATACTAGCTAATATTATTTAATACATGCAGTACTAAATAGAAGAGGTAATAATTTTAAAACAAACATCCGTGTAACATTATTGGACTTAAAAAACATATATTTTTTAAATAAGAGAAGCAGAAGAGTTTTCTGAACTATACATTTCAGATTGCATTTGTTTACTAAAGATTAAAATAATACAACAGCTACCGAAAGTCAAGAGCTAGACAGACACGGTGGCTCACACCTGTAACCTCAGAACTTTGGGAGGCCGAGGCAGGTGGATCCCTTTAGGTCTGAAGCTGGAGACCTCATCTCTACTCAAAATACAAAAATTAGCCAGGTGTGGTGACACTCACCTCCAGTCCCTAGGGAGGATGCCTGAATCTGAGAGGTAGAGGTTGCAGTGAGCTAAGATTGTGCCACTGCACTCCAGCCTAGGTAACAAAGAAAAATAAAAGTCAAGAGCATGGGGAAGTATTAAACTCAAGCATAATCCATGATCTCCCATCAGAACAGCTCCATTTTTGGCAATCATTATATGTAAAGTCTATTTGCTACACATTGGTATTTGTACTGAAGTGTTCAAGTGCACATTAGCGCTGACTTAGGTTTAGTGTCCTCTGCTGTACACTAAACTTGAATATCACACTTACATATCAAACAAAAGTATCTTTCCTTAAGGCAGTCACCTTTAAGACTCCTTTAGAATTACAAAAATGTGAAATATTTGTTTTATAGTTTTCACAGACATATTGTCTATAACAAATACTCTAATAAATCACCATCAAAACAAAAGCCCACAACATAATCTGTTTCACCTTATAAAATCACTGACTTTATAAGACTATCTTAGCCAATTGTTAAACAGTAATAGCTAGTTATTTTTACTCACAATAGTACTATTTAATAACATAATACAAACATATGCCGACTGTGGTGGCTCATACCTTTAATCCCAGCACTTTGCAGACCGAGGCAATAAATCTTTGAGGTCAGAGTTCAAGACCAGCCTGCCACCTAGTGAAACCCCTGTCTCTACTAACACACAAAATTAGCTGTGTGGTAGTGCATGGCTATAATCCCAGCTTCTTGAGAGGCTGAGGGTGGGCAGAACTGTTCGAACCTAGAAGACAGAAGTTGCAGTGAGCCAATTTTATTCCCCTGCACAGCAGCTTGGGTGACAGAGCAAAAGTCTGCCTGAAAAAAAACAAATAAATAAAGACAGAGGAGGAAGCATTTATTATGTATTTATATGCCAGGCATTATGTGAAGCACTTTACTATCTGATCAGATCTTTAAGGTAGGGTCTTTAGTTCTCATGACCACAGAAGAGGATGATATTAAGGCTCAGATAGGTAAGAGATGTGGCCCCGCTGTGTCCCCAAATGCCTATGCTTTCAGATAAGATTAAGAAAATAATTTGTTTAAAAAAGCATTCAATTGAATTCCTAAGATTCAGGCCTTCGCAATAAATATGTAAAGAAATCTCACTGTCCATAGCTTCTGGTAGCACATGTTACGAGGGTTTTTTTTTTTTTCTCTAAAATGAACCAACAAAGGCCAGGTCATGCCTGTAATCCCAGCATTTTGGGGCCAAGGCAAGAATCAAGGTCAAGAAATCAAGACCATCTGGCTAACATGGTGAAACCCTGTCTCTGCTAAATTCCCAAAATTACCCGAATGTGGTGGCACACACCTGTGGTCCCAGCTCTCAGGAAGCTGAGGCAGGAGTGTCACTTGATCCTGGGAGGTGGAGTTTGCAGTGAGCCGACACGGAGCCACTGCACTGCAGCCTGGTGACAGAGCTGAACTCTGTCTCAAACACAACAACAAACAAGAACCTACAAAAACCAGGACAAAAGGCTTAAACAAATTATAAAGAGTGGCAAGAAACACTGAGAGAACCTTAAGCCACATAGACTAACAAATATTGTGGAGAAGTTATTGAATTCATTAGCAAATTACTGCCTAATTCTAGGTTTTCATTTTCATCGAGAGGTAAGATTATTATTCATATAGAAGACAAAATGTTTCAGTTATATTAACATAATAACTTCAATATGGTTTATCATGTTTAAATGTTCACTTAAAACAAGTTTAAAGTTCCGCATACTATACATTTTTAATAGCTTGCTAGTAACGTTGCAAAGTAAAGAGTCTCCAAATAGAAACAGCAAAATCATAATGTTTTAATGGTTGTTGCTATTTTTAGATAAACATTTGATATATGCCAACAGATAGATGACAATAACAAAGTGCTAACTTCTTTCATTATGACATAGAGGTAGCTTCAGGTCAGAATAGTGTAAGGGTACAGA